CCATCCTTTCAACCTCAGCCTTTTCTACCACTCCTATAATTTCCTTCTCGGCACTATCCATGAGGCCGATGGACCCCCAGCCTTCCCTCCTCGCCTTCGACCTGCCCTGTCCATTGCACGTCCTTGTGCGGTTTGCGGCAGCAAGTCTCCAGTGCTCCTCTTCCTTTCCACTTGATCGTTATTTTTCTAGATGGAGCCCTCACAGTCAGGGTTAGAGGTAGGAAGCTCTGCTTTCTCACTGGCTCTCCTAGGAACTTCGTACCATCTGTTACAGAGCAGAGTGTGCAATGTCCCAGCCAAGTTCTGCTGAGCCACGTCACAAGTTTCTCTTAGAACTTCTCATGGAGGAACCAGAAGAAATCTTCCAGAACCTAAAGAAGAACAGCTATGAAGCAATAAGCGCTTTAGAGATGCTATATGTGGAGACTTTCACAGTTTCAGTTTAACAAATCATCACAGTTATTCTGTCGTTGTTCATTCCCTGGAGTTCACAGCTTGGCCACTTAAAAATCATCAGTGCTACTGTAGCAGTGCTCAAAACCTAAAGCCCTGAAGTGAGAACCCCGCACTTAGCACGTCACACCATTAGTACACGCTTGTGGGAGCCAGTTTTATGGCATCCTATCAGCCAGAATTACTCTGTGCTGCAGTCTCTTTTAGAGACTTCTCAGTCCCCTGACCCAGGAAGAAGCAACTTAAACCACAGGCATTCTTGAGGGAAAACACATGGACTGATGTTTAGCAGGCCTGAGGCCACTGCAAAAGAAAAAGACTAGAAAATGGGAGAATTAGCAAAACTATTAATAGTTTGGAAAAGTAAATAAATAGGCAAACTAATTCTTGAACTCTAAGCTTCAGAAGTTTAAAATTTGCTTTTCTTCTGTTATTTGTGAAGTAGATTTTTTTCAGAGAGCCCTCTCTTTCTCAGTGTCTTCTGTATCCAACATTGAGGCTGTCATGATGGGCAGGGTTTATGTGATACCTTCTGGCACATAGACAAGAGTAAGTTTGAGGTCAGTAAGTCATAGGGTGTGAGGCGGGTGAGGAATGTATCCCTCCACCGAAAAGGTGAGGTCATTCTTTGTTTTTCTTAAAAGATGTTTAATAGTCCAGGACATTACAGAGACACCCTCCTGGGAACTGTATATGTGCAAACATAGGGAAGTGAGACCATTTTGACATTTGCATTCTGTTACCATATATATGCTCAGGAGTTCCAAATGTTTTTCCCTATCTGAAATTCCAAGAACCATATCTGTATTTTCAGCTGCCTCCTGCTCTCAGCCCCAGAACTTGCTTTACTTCCTACATTCTTGATTTCAGCTAATAGCTTCTTGTTCCCCATGGAATTGCCTTTTAAACAGCAAGATACACATTTTACAACATGACTCACTCTGCACACACACGTAAACACACACAAATATAACTTGAACAAAAGTTTCATAAAACAATATGTGTCTTTACCATGCATGTTGCCCTCTGATATCTTCACTTGTATCTCATCCTTTGAAAAAAATGGCTTATACATATCCCTGTTACTTTATTGGTTCATTTCTTTACTTGGCTAACACTTATGTATTATATTCTCCCTGGATTCAGTATTTACCCTTGGCTTCCTATCCTGTAATCCAGCCTGAATACAGTCACACTGAACTTCATGCTGTTAACCAGACGCACCATTTATTCATTCAGTCAGTCAACATTTACTGAGTGTGTATCTGATGCCAGGCACATGGTAGATTCTAGGGATCCAGAAATGAGCACCAAGGTCTCCACTCTGAGGTCCATGGTCCGGTGGGGAGACATACGCATAATCTAGCAATTACCAGGCAATGATTGGGTCCTATGATCAAAATCTGCACAAAGCACATGGAGATCACAAAGAAACAGCATGTGATTAGGACCAGAGAGATCAGAAGGTCTTGCAGGGAAAGGTGACCCTCACACTGAAGCTAGAAATAGAGGTAGGAGTTCAACTGGCCAGGCCAGGTGTAGAGCATTCAGGAAGAGGAAGCCACTGTGAGAAGGCACAGGGCTATGAGCCGTATGACAATTTGGAGAACTGGAAGTATTTTGACATAAGCCCGGAATACTCTGCTGTCATTCACACCTCTTCTTTATTTGGCAAACCGTGACTCAGTGTTCCGTCTCCCACTAAACTGTCCTCTCCCATGTAGCCTTTCTCCCCACCCTAGAGAGACTGAAGCACGCCCTCCTTTGGGCTCCCACCTTGTTCTCCCATACCTCCCAGAGAATGCTTGTTATGTGGAAGACAGGTCATCAGTGTCCCTGGCCATCTGCCTCACAAGACCACGAGCACCTCAAAGCACAGCAAGTCCCATCCTCATATCTCTGTGAGGAGCACAATAATGTTAGCCAAATGAAGAGATAAACCAGTAAAGGAATAGGGAGATGTTCAAGCCACGTGCCCAGGTTTAAGGTGAAGCTGCTTAAATGAAGATGTAGGAGACTTCTCAGCATGTCATAGACTGAAAGGGGCCCAGGTGTCATAAGCCTGCTTATTTACAAATGTGGGGAGCACATTCTAAATGTTGATGGTACACCAGATGCATTTTTTTTTCACTGTTTATTTGCAAAAAGTTATTTTTACTTTTAGAGAATACTTTTTTCTTCTGACTTGAAAGTGTCTTGGTAGTAGAATTCATTAGTCGATTAATACAAATGAAAATCAGGCATCAGAGAAAACACACTCTCACTTTCCCTAGTACAGGTAGCTGAGCATCATTAAGCCTTTTCAAAAAGGCTTTTACAAGAAGAAAGATTAATTTTTAATTTCCCTTTTCCTTTGCCCACTTTCTGCCCACTTTGCATTTCCTGTGCAAATGATCCAGGACTGTAGGCAGGAGAAGAATTTGAGGTCTGGAATCCCAACAGTCAAGTCTGTAATTGAAAAAACAAAAGTCTTATGTGTTTTCTCTTTTCTGGTAATTATTATGAGATGACCACGATATTTCATAATCACTCTGAAACAGAACACTGGATATGGGTGAGAATAATGCTTAGGAAAAAGGTTTGCTAACACATGCCTTGTAAAAGTGGGGACAACCAGGGTAGCAATCATACTTTTATTAGGAGCAAGAGAACAGGATTCAGATTCTGACTGGATTTTTCATTGTTTATAAAACATCCAGAGGGTCTATTTCATATGTGGTGGATTGGCTGTGTTCAAGTCATGATTTTGAGCTGAAATTTCCTCCTTTTCGTTGCTAAAGTTTAGGACTGTTGAACACCTTTGTCCTTCATGTAAAATTCAGTGTGAGGACAAAGTAGAGCACTTCCAAATATGCCATGTATGCTGCCCACAAACTCGGTTGCCTCCCTCTCTTGCAAAAGTGGCTAGAATTATTGGAAAGAAAGGAGAAGATGCCTTTCGCAGAGACACTGGTATCACCATTGTATGTTGGAGGCAATGCCTTTGTCTCTCTTCTTGTCTTACAACTCTTCCAGCCTTCTTGCCTGTCACCTCCTCCTCCCACCCAGCCTGTCAATAATATGACTTTGTTTGTGTAGCTCTACCTATTAATGTAGTATTATTTACCAATTATTTAAAATTAACCAGTTATCATTTTAAAGAATTGCGTTTCTCGTTTGCTGACACCAGCTTCAGTGTTTCTGGGTGGGACATAAATACATGTATTTAATGCTGCTTCACCAGAGTGGAAAGCAGTGATAAAGCACTCACTGTATATGTGCCACTCTTTGACATCACAGCCCTGTCCTCCTAGTAAATAAATGCATAAATAATTAGAGCCCTGTGTTGCCTTGTTGCCTACTAATACCTGCTAATCCTCAGAGATAAAGTGAATGTGTTTCATTTCCTCCCATAATATCTGCCCTTCCTCCTCCTCCTCAGTCAGCCTCCAGCTTTATCTCTTGCCCTTTCTAACCTGTTTGACTCCCCATGTTTCTCCATCGTAGTTTGAATAACAGCATCTGGCACTGACTCCCTTAAGCGAGGAGTCACTGTGGAAAAAGTGGGCAGTTTAGATTCATCCGCATGGCTGGTGCCTCCCTTACCTGACCCAGCTTTCTGTGGGTGCTTTGAGTAATATCTAATACTTACTTAGCACTTACTGCATGCCAGGGAGTGCTCTCAGCACAGATGAGGTAGGTGCTGTTATCACCCTCCAGTTGACAAATGAGGAAATTGAAGCTCAGCAGGCTATTTCTTTTCCAGGTTTATATGGCTAGTAAGTAAGGGAGCAAGGATTTGAACCCAAGCAGTCTGTCTTCAGGGTCTGGGCTCTTAACCCCTAAAGTCCGCTGTTGTCAGTCAGTGGTTTGCTGTGATCCCTGACCATAAGAGCAGTAGATTGTGTAACTAAACATTCAGATGGAGTGTGCCTAGCTACATGTGAACTGGAATTGCCTTTTAATTCCGTTCACCAGATCCAACATTGTGGTCATGGAAAAGTAGATGGGGAAAGAAGGTGGGAAGTATGAACAGAAAAAGGAGAAAGTGTAGGAAGAATAGTATTTTGGCAAGAGGAAACTATAAATCACATAATCAGATATTTTAACTGTAATGAGAGAATTTGAGCATTCTAAGCTGTTGATACTGTTTTTTTGAAATATTATGATGATCAGACAGAGGATGTGGGGAAGAAATGACAGAATTATTAGAACTGTTAAATGATATGTGATACTGGAGTGAAGGACGAAGCTCATGAGGGACACATGCACACTGTCCAGCTTCATGAAGATGATAGCTTATTGTTTGATTACTTGTTAAGTTTGGATTTGATAAAATATAGCAGATTTAACTTGTCTTACCACATTCAGCTGCATTTGTTAAAACACAGATTCATCTTGGGTGGCTCTTTAGCCGAGTTTGTTTTTACTGAAATAAGATCCCTGGCACACAATAATGGAAAAAATGCAGAGTTTCATAATATGCAGCATACTGTTTTCTACACTTGAGAATTTTGATTGCTTTGGAAATAATAAGTCTGTTTCTACAATTTCTTGCTTTCAACTAGGTTCTTGGAACACCAAATGAGGACACATGGCCTGGAGTTCATTCTTTACCACACTTTAAGCCAGGTATGTTTTATTAATTACTAACGAATAAGTGCTTCCTATCGGCAAAGGGTGAAAATATTAATGTTCCCTCTTAAGTAATATACTACCTTGAAAAATCTGCTTACTTTTGCCATTATGTGCTTTATCTATTAATGGAGATGTTCTTTTGTTTTCACAATTTATTTGTCTGTAAAGATAGAGTTAATGACATCCCTTGAGAGATTTTCACCGTAAGTATTGTACTTTGTTTGACTTAATCGACTGACCTCGCAGTAACCATTAATTCCATCATCAATTAGACTATCATCCATGCCTATAAAAATTTAAATTGGGGTACTATAATCCATTTGTGTCATTTATAAGAAAAGTATTAAATTGTAAAAAGGAAACATCACATTTGATTTCTTTTTATAAACTAGTAATATACTGTCAATTAATTTGTTTAAACATGTAAAATGTTCTGAATGTCCTATGTATGGTATTCAGTATTTTAAAGTAAAATATTTAAACCCCTATACTGGAAAAATCTGAGCAAAAAAGTGAAACTTTTAAAGTAAGTTGTCACTTTCCTTCACCAGTAGGTGGCAGTCATGAAACTTTCAGTTTTAATAATTTCACTTGGGAGGATCTCAAACATGGTCTGTTTGATTTTTGTAGAAGGGATGGAAGGTTTGGAATTGGAAATTTAATAAAGTCAGTAGAATGAATTATTGTAAAATTATTCTCATTTTTTTTTCTTTTCTTGGTTACAAAACATAGTTTATAAAATGCAGATCCACCATAAAATTACTGAAAGGGATTTTATGGAAGATCTAATAGTTCATTATCCTATGAGGGAAAAGAGTTATGAATAGTTTATTTTAGGGGAACCAAGCATATTCTCTTCTTCCTCTTCCCCTCTTTTGGGGTACCAACAACAAAAAAATTGCCAATCCCAAAGAATGACTGAGTTGGGAAACTGTTTTTATTCTATTCTAAATATTTTTCTTCTGAAAGTGTACAGTGTGCTGGCAACACTTTCATCTTCTTCAGTTGTCCCAAAGAGTCTTTGTACTTTTACCGAAAATTCTAAATGTCTTCTATACTCTGAAAGTCTATAGAAACTTAACAATGTAAGGTGGATTTTTTTTTTTTAACCAAGAAAGAAGCATTTTCTAACTGATTCATTTGTTCCTAATGGAGTCTAACTGGAGAACACAGCTCTTTATAAATGTCCCAATTGTGGGCTCTTTAAGAATGCTAGCTTCCCCGTGTTAGGATCTAAAATTTTAAGTCCTGGGGAAGTTAAATAGGAGAATTTGAAAAGATTTTAAATGAATAAAGTTAGATACAGAAAGGAACAATTAGTCATTTGACCTGGTGCTGAGCAGCAGAAAACATGGAGCAACTTGTTTGTTTTGGTGTTAATAGAATTTATTTTCAACGACAACGAATGAGTACAAAAGCATTTGTTAAATATGTTCTGGAAAGTACTATGATGTAGTGCAAATTAAGCTAACAGATTATGAACATCATCACACTGGGGACTAGCATAGTACATATTTGGCATTCAAGAAATGTTTGTCGTTCTGAATTATATTGAATGTTTATAGCTGACGTTATTTATGTGATCCATCTGGTAGACATATATAAGTTAGAATATATATGTTGAAGTAATTAATATTATGTGTAAGCACCACAACAGACACATGATACATAGAAGGTAGTGGGGGTCTGGAAGAATTACATGTTTAGATGGTGTAAGGCCCGGGTGCTGTGCAGCAGGACAGCTCTTCCAGCCAAAGCTTAGGGCTTGTGGATCAGAGTAGGTATGACCAGTGCTTCCTGAGTTGGCTTGAGAGGCGTCAAGGGGAGACAAAACAATAGACTGAGGCAAAAGAAGCAAATATGACAGCTTTCATGCAGCACTGACCAGACTATCCAGGGACCTCATACTTAGGGGGAGAAAATACACATCCCCAAAGGAAGAAAATATCAGTGGTAGGGTCCACTTGTCCCAGCCCCACTCTCCACCTCCATGTGGTACTCCAAGGAGTGCCTTAGGAAGTCTGAGGGGAAAAAAAGTCTGAGCCCTGAGGATGTACTTTGTTTAATTTTTTAATAGATAATAAATTTAAGAAATTCAAAAAATCAAACAATATGTAAAAGAAGCACAGTGCAAAGCCTTCTTCCCATGCCTGCTCCCCATCTCCTCACTTCCCCAGAACCACTGCCCCACCAGAGCCCCCAATATGTTTCTTATGTTTCTTCTTTATATAAATGTAAGAAATGACAAACATAGATTTTTATTTTTCCCATATTAAGCACAAATCTGCATCTTGTTTTTTTCATTCATGCACCCTGTAGGTCTTCTCATGTTACTGTAGAGAGGAGTCCAATGTGGCTTCCCTCTTGTCTCTCAGAGTTACATTGTTTTCTGTTGTATGGATTTAACTTGTTTGCCTATTTATGGACAATTGGGTTGTTTCTAGTGTTTTGCTGTTATCAATATTAGTGCAATGAATAACCTGTACATGTACATACACATTGCATGCGTGCAAGTATATGTGAAGGATAAATTAGGAGAAATGGGGTTAAAGAGTCAATAAGTATAGACAATTATAATTTTGAACACCCCCATCAAACTGTGGTCCAAAGGGGTGGTACCAGTTGTTTCTGTTACTAGCAATTCATGAGAATACTGCTTCTCTACTCTCCTGTGTGTGGCCAAACTTTTGGATTTTGCCAGTCAGTTAGATTACAATAGGAATCTCAATATAATTTTAATTTTCATGCTCTTTTGTATGATGAAGTTGAGCATCTTTTCGCATGTTTCAGGCTCACTTGCTTTTCCTTTTCCGTGAACTGTTAATATCTTTTGCTCAGTTCATAGTTGAATTGTGTGTCATTTTCTCATCAATTTCTAGGAGTTCTTTATATTTTAGAGACATTATCTCTTTGTCTATGAAAAGCTTTTGCTTCTCTGGGATTTTAAAAAATTATCCTTTTTAAATTTTCATCAATTTTGAAAATAATCCTCACTCTCATGTCTTCCTTGTCTTGCCTAAGTGAATACATTTTACCTCAAGAAAAAAAGCCCATGGTGGTTTTAGAATAGTGCAGTCATGATTTTTTTTAAAGACCAATTCCTGTTATAGATATATGTATAAATGCATATATATGCATCTGTGTAAGAAAAACCAATTTGGGTTTTCAAATAGATTATTTTATGGTTATGATCTAGGTCATGCATAAATCTGGAAAGCTGAGTGTCTTGGTTTTAACATATTCTAACCTAATTATCTAGTAGCTGTATTTTAAGTAACTTATTTTTATAGCTAATTTCTATAGAATAAGTTAAGTTTATTAATTCAACAATATTTATATAGCACCACTTGTATGTCTAGGGACTGGGGATGTTGCATTGAACAAAATGCAAAATATCTCTATCAGGAGAGACACTTATAAAGTAAAATATACAGATACTAGGTTGTAATGAGTAAGTACTATGGAGGAAAACAGATCAAGAAACGGGTTTGGGAAGTGTCAGGAAGAGGGTCGCTTGCAGTTTCAAATAGGGTAATCAAGGAAGGCCTCCCTGCAGAGATGACATTTTACTGAAGGACACGGGGAGAGAGCCATGAAGATATTTGAGGAAGAACTCTGCAAGCAGAGAGAGCAGCAGGTGCACATGCCTAAATGGGAGGAGAAGAGGGCTGAACATGAAGTCACAGGCAAGAGGCGCTGAGCCTGGAGGGCTGTGATGAAGTCCTTCACGTTTACTCTGAGCCAGATAGAAAGCTCTGGAAGACTTTGAACAAGGCAGCGCATGGTCCAAATAACGTTTTAGTAAGATCACCCTGGCTATTGTAATGAGAATTGGAGGTCAGGGCAGCAGCAGGGAGACCAGTTAGGAGGGGAATCTGGGGGAGAGATGGTGAAGGCACCATCAGGGAAATGCCCTTACCTTGTCAAGTCCTCTTTTCAGCTCAGAAGTTAACGTTGTTTTCCATCGGAAAGTATGGCAAAGCTGGAGGAACACTTTAAAAACAATTGTTAACATAGCAGAAGAACAATTTGATAAAAACTGAGTTTTACTCTTTAGTGTTTAGCCTGTGTGTATCCTCTTCTGTGCTCTCATTTATGTCAACATAAAATTCCTTAATGTCGACTTATTCCCATAGCATGCAGGCAACCACGACAGGCCACAACTGCATTTATATAGATACAGATACAGAAGTGGATATAGATACACATACAGATATATAGATACAGACATTGAATTGTGTGCTATGTATAATAAGGAGTCTAATCTCAGAAGCTTCTGTTTATCCACCATTTACTTCTATTTAAGTTTTTCTTAACAGAAGTGGGAAGAGGATCTGTTTCTTCTTTGAACCCGACTGCCTTCCTGTGTTTTTTTTTTCCTCACCCACAGGGTTCTGTGGTTTATGGCCTCTTGAAAGTAGTTTTCTCTCAGTCTCTCTCTCTCCTCTCTCTCTCGTACCAGAGTGTCTCCTTTTATCACTCTCCTCAGGATGCTTACTGTGGGACAGCCTCAGGGGTGACAGGTTACACTGTGGTGTTCTCAGTACTTCAGTAATTCCATCACCTGTGAGGAGATTCATCACAGGCCAAACCCCGTTTGCTAACACAAAGAAAGAGTCCACTGCAAAATTAAGACATGTTTCCTTCACTTGTTTCATAGATACTCATTCACGGGAGACCTCGGCCCAGTGCTCTCTGCCTTAATTTCCTTCTGAAAGAGTAGGAGGCTCCCCCTTGAATCCCAGGATCACTTTCTCCTGTCTGCTTTCCCCCTGCTACGTCCCATGACAGAGGCAACATGCCTTATGTGCCTCTGGTAAAGTGATACTTGACTTTTTTTTGTCATAAGACAGACTTAGCATTAATTGAGGGGGGGAAAAACGTATCTTGTGTACATATTCGAGGGGTTGTTTGAACTTTGTAGAATTGTGGTAACCATAGATCAGGAGAGAAAAAACAAAGACATTTGAGGTTCCCTTGACTAGTGGAATCAG